ACATCACGTGTGCGGAATACACGCAGTTCTACGGGGGCAAGAAAGCAGGTAAGGGGGTGTGCAGCCATGGCGGGGTGGCTGTGGGAGTGCTGCCCCCTTCCCCCCCCATCCCCAGCTGCCCTCCGAGCCCCCGGGCGGGCGGCTGGGGGCCGAAAACGCAGTGGAACTGATCAGAAAACGCAGAAATTCGAGGTTTAAGGCCCAGAGGAGCTGGCCCTGCCTTCCACAAGTTCCGTGCCCGCTGGTAGGGCAGAGCTGGTTACAGCGTTCATCATCGAATTCAAACTCGGTGCGGTCAGTCTGCCAAAGCTCTGTTCTGATTTTTTTCTGATCCTGGCATTTCAGCTCAGGAGCGTGCCTGTGCTCTGCAGAAGTCCCATTTTAGTTTTGCAAGGCTCTGCATATTTATCCTCGTCCTCAGTAAATTGCCACCATGCACATAGCAAAATGTAACTTTCAAATGTTTCTTTGTTACCTAGAATTCTGTATTTACTAAACCTCTGCTGTGTTGTTTTTGTTTTTTTTTTTTTTAAACAGACCTTCCACGAATAAACTTTAGACGTTTATCATTTGATCACTGCAGGTAAGACAATGAATTTGCATTATCATTACTAAATCACTGTCCTGGTTTCGGCTGGGATAGAGTTAATTTTCTTCCTAGTAGCTGGTATAGGGCTGTGTTTTGGATTTAGGATGAGAATGGTGTTGATTGATAACACACTGGTGTTTTGGTTGTTGCTAAGTAGTGCTTACACTAAGTCAAGGTCCTTTCAGCTTCTCATGCCCTGCCAGCGAGAAGCTGGGAGGGGGCACAGCCAGGACAGCTGACCCAAACTGGCCCTTTCAAGGGGTATTCCATACCATATGACATCATGCCCAGTACATAAAGTTGGGGAGTTGGCTGCTGGATGGGGACTGCTGCTCAGGGACTGGCTGGGCATCGGTCAGTGGGTAGTGAGCAGCTGCATTGTGCATCACTTGTTTTGTATATTCTTTTATCGTTATTATTAGTACTGTTTTCCCTTCCTTTCCTGTCCTATTAAACTGTTTTTATCTCAACCCACAAATTTTACTTTATTTTCCTGATTCGCTCCCTCATCCCACTGGGGATGGGGGGAGTAAGTGAACGGCTGTGTGGTGTTTAGCTGCCTGGCGGGTTAAACCACAAAAACGATGCATCCCTTTATCAGGCTGTTGATATTGAACTATTACTAAAGCCATGTTCTTCCGAGGTACTTACTTTCATTGACTTGTGCCTGCTAAAATCATAACACAGCAAGAAAAAATTCAATAAGAACTGAAACAATGTCTGTACTTCCCATGATTAGTGTACGTAGAGATTGGAGCTGATGGCTAAAAGAACACACAAGTGATAAAATAATTCAGAACAATAATTGTGTACGTTCCAGTCTTTCAGATTTGTGTTATCAGGGTTCAAATCTACTTTTGCCTGATGAGAGTATGCTTGGTCAATCACTCATCTTTCTGAGGCAGTGATTAGGTAGATGGAAGTAATATTTATGCTGGTTTTTTGTGTTTAGAGTTTACGGCTTGAAGTGCTGGAATGAAAGAGGGGAGTTACTAAACGTGGTTAGAAAATCCCATGTAAATGGAATAGGTCAAGTTGTTACCATCCACATCTGCAAAGTACTGCTGCTTGGCTAAAACCTGGCTGGGTTATGGATGCATCCCTAGCGGGGGATGCTGAATGTGATTGCCAGTTACTCCCTAGCCTGTTTCAGCGTGAAGACAGTGAGTGTTTCTGCTTGAACCATCTGCTGTGCTTGTGGGGCCCAGTATGGCAATGGAAGCAGGTTGGGGAGTATTACAGCATCCGTGGCTCTATGGCTGTGAGTGGTGGCGGCTGAACTGTACCAGTTCCTTTCATGGATTTTGTTGTTAACCTAATTTATGTAGAATCAGATAGTAAGTATTGGCAGCCACTCAGTATTTTCATTGGTACAGGCCTTGCTTTAGTGTACAAGTGAATCAGCAAAATGTTGCTTCTGTCATCATGATTTCCAGCTGATTTTGCTAAAAAGAATGTGTACTCTTTTTTTCTAGTTTGTCTCTGCAGCCATTTGAATACCCAGTTTGCACACCAGATGGGACAGTCTTTGACATACTGTAAGTTACTATCTGTACTTGGCTTTATTTTTGTGTTGCTGCAGTGCTTATAGCTACGTAATCATCATTAGTTCTTAGCAAGTTGGCAAAAATAATCATGCCCATCAGTAGAGGTTTCTGATGGTGCTTGTTGCTTATTACTTTATCCCTTCTCTTTTCAGGAGCATTGTTCCTTGGATAAAGAAATATGGAACTAATCCAATCACAGGAGAAGTAAGTAATGATGGGTGCATTCATATGATGTCTTTGCTTTCCTTATGCTTAGTTTCCTATTTAATGTGTGGGAGAAACAAAAATGCTTTCATGAAAGCCGAGAAAGTTGAATGGGAGTGCTGTTTTGAAGTATGATACTTTGTGAGATCAAGCTTGCTGAACTTAATGTAGAGATTTACTAGGGATGTCTTTTTTAGCTTAAAAAAAAAAAAAGCAGGGGGGGCTTCTGGATTTGAGACCTGATATCCCTTCATGGTCATCCTGCTAATGATCTTTGTAGTAGAAAATAATCAGCCTCGGACTGTGTGAGCGTGAGAGAGAGAGCTTTTTTGGTTTGGGTTGGTTTTTTTTTTTTGCATTGGATTTTAAATAGTATGGCAGAGGGACTGTGCAGTTCATTTGTATAAACTCCTAAGGTATCTTGCCTTTCTTACAGGTGTGGCATAATTAAAATCTGTACAGATAGAAATATGAGCTCTTGTTACTGCTAGTGATGCCCAGAAAGCCTGAGAGGTCATGGACGGAAAAGACTCTGTACTGCTGCCTCATATAAGCAGAATTCTAGTCTGTACAGGGTGAGGGGCTGGCAAGCTCACCTCTCCATCTGTGATTAAACTTGCAGTAATGTTTCCTAACCAAAAGGATATTTGGCTTTATGCAGATTAAAGAGATTAGTAGATGATATTATGAATGGCAAGCTTAAGCTGCAAAATCTTTTGAGTTATCTTGGCAGTATATTTCAGAAAGCTTCTGACCTGCCTCTCTTGTGATAGTTCACTGTGAGACTGGGATTTCACACTATGATCAGCACTTTAGCGGTTTTTCTCCCTGCTTTTTCTGCATACATGACAATTAGGAAGGGATTACTTTCTGTAGTAGTGTGAAGTTGTAAAGCACCAGATAAACATGAAGTATGGGAAATATTTCCTTGTTGGAATTTTTTTTTTTCTGATGTGTTAAAAAGAGAGTGCATTGTTTACGGGGGCATAGAGGAAAATTTTAAACAGAAATTGTTGCTTGAGCTACTGAAACTTAGTTTTCCTTCTGTAAAGTGCAGTTACTTTCCTGAGCATTAGGTGGCAGCCACTGCACAGGATTGTTGTTTGGTTTGCAGAAGGCTTTGTGGTATGACATTACCTTTGAAACATCTTGTGTTTGATTAAAGATTTTCCCAGCAGACAGATACGAGGAGAAGCTAAATACAGATGCAGCAGTCCAAACTCTGAACATGAACAGGCTGTCTGAGACTCAATGTCTTCAGTTATAGCAAACTGCAGGTGTGTTGTGCGATGAAGAGATGAGTGAAGGTCTTTCTTCACACGAGGAGGCCGATGTATTGTTGAGAAGGAATGGAACTACAGCTATTTCATTTGTTTTCACCAGTCCCTCACCACCTTGCTGCTCTGTGCGTTGGTTGGGAGTTTTGGGGTGTTGCCAGATTGATTTTTTTTTTTTTTTTTTTTTTTTTTTTTTTTTCACTCAGAGCAGCTCCATCAGACCTGTTCTCATTTCAGGCTGTGAATCGCCATGTGGTTTAAAATTACTTTGTGTAAATGCTAAGCAAGAAGTGCAATGTGTCTAGTGGTCTTGTGTGATCTAGAGAAAGAGAGATTGTGCAGAATATACTTGGTGACCCATAAATGCTCAAATGAAGACAGACTTTGAGATCTGTTGGTTTACCCAGATTTGCGCTTCTGTAGTTGATCTGCAGTGCACCTCCAGCTCTCCTCAACATGCATCCCCTTTTCCTCTGTATCACTGTTTGGGGAGCCCTTTCTTCTTCCCAGTTCTGCAGTGGTGGACTTGTGCCATTACAGCTCTGTCCTCCACAGGGTGAAGGCATTCCAGACCTCTTGGAAGAAAAAGGAGATGCTTGCTCTGGAGAACAGCACACAGCCCTGCTGAATCCAGCCCTGTGGAGCTATAAGTTGAAGAGTGAGGCTAAAGGAGGTGTCATAATTTAGTCTTTGTTTTGCAGAGGGCCAGCTTTGGTTTTCAGAAGGGGAAGATGGCGTTGGACAGGAAGGGTATGGGCATGCTGGGACAAGGCAGGGTAGGTGGTAGAGGAAGTCAGTGAGTTGAGCTTGGACATCTCAAGACTGTAAAGCCGCCTATTTAATCTGTCATTGTGTGCGCACCTTCTGTTACTTGTACAGCTTGCTCATTGTGGAAACCAGAAAATATTTTCTGTAATGAATTGGTGACTTACAGAAACTTAAGACTGCAGGTTTGTTTAAAAATCAATTGAGCCAGATTAGCTGCAATGCCATGTTTTGTATGGTGACTTACAAAGTTACTTTGCACAGACTGATGATTTATCATTGGTGATGAGGCTCTGGAGAATTTTTCCATTTTTTTTTTGTCCTGAAGTTAAAAATTATAATGAAATCCTTTGTGATTCCTACTTCTGTTGTTATAGTTTGCTACAGGTGCAACATTTTAGAGAAGTCAATAGGCCACTTGGAAATGATGTCGTTAACGGTGCACTCTTGATACCCACTAATTCTGTCTAGCTGTCTTATTTCTGAAGTGGACTCCTCAGTGGAGAATTGGAGGCCTTGCAAACATTAATATATTTATCTTTGCGGTGCTCCCAGGGGGTACGACTGTGCTAATCTTTCATTAATTGGATGTTTGTGAACTGATCTACAAGTGACTTCTCTGATTCTTCCAAGTCCTAAACTATTGGACCAGCCTTCCTTTTTAAAGAAATTTTGCAATGCCAAGATCGCAGCTATTCTTTGATATGTTTAAAATATTTTAATTTTTTTTGATTTCCTTCCCTATACTTCCTCATGGTTTACGGTTTATTTTTTCTTGCTTTTCCAAACATTCTCCTGAGGTGCAGTATGGACACCAATATACATTTAGGAGAGAAACAGATCACTATTGACTTTGTCTAGAGTTTCCCGTGAGCTATTCCAGAAAGTAACTAGATTTTTTTTTTTCTCCCGTTTTAATAATGCATTGGGGTAAAAAATACTTCTGTTTCTACACTAATATTTTTGGAAGAAATAACACATCTCTTGCAGCTGAACTACTGCCTGTCAGATGGCATTGGCTCACTTACTTTTTTTGTCAGCTTTGTCAGGACACTGCCCTAGCTTATGTTTACACTAAAATTGCATAAAATAAAGAGGAAAGTCATAGTTAGCTCATTCTTTTTTTACTGAGAACAGCACTTTGGCTTCTGGGGCTTGCAGATAGTTGCAAGCTTGCCAGGACATTTCATGTAGCGGCGATATGACAGCAGTGACCAGCATGCCCACACAAGTCAGCCAGCTGGGCTCGGGAGTACCTGTTTCCGAGAAGTGAGATTGGTTAGAGCGTGTCTGGTTTGTTGGAATCTCAAACATGAACAGATGATAGATCAGCGTGCCTTTTGACAGGAAATTCAAGGAAATTGTTCTTTGTTGCACGGATATGTTATCTCTGGGCTGAGCTATTTTCCTCCTTTGCATTGAAATGTTTCTGATATAAATAGCTATTTTTCCACTCTGGTTCAGTGACATTCTAACTGCATGTGGGCAGGCCAGATTATTGTGGTTGTAATGCAGCCCCATTCAAGGCTCTGTAACCTTGGGCAAATACCTCTCTTCCCCTGTATCAGAAGTAGCCAAGGTCTTTGTCCCTTGTTCCCCCTTTTCTGTAGGAATTTTGTTATTTTGGACAGTTGAAAGTCAGTTAATCTCTGGTGCTTTATTCTAAGGCTTTGTTCCAAAGTCAATTTTGTGACTGTTTAAAGTGCATCTGCTTTTAAACTTGTATAGAGAGCTCAGCTATGTGAATTCTTTCTGTGCTGCTCAGAGCAAAGTAAAATCCGTCTGTCTGCTGATCCTGCATAACCCAGACAGGCAATCCTCGTGCTAAGGGCCACGTGCAACTCTGCAGTCGTTGCGTATATATGTCTTGAAGGGCAAACAGGATGCAGTCAAGTTAATTTAGCTGCTTAGCATATGCCTAATAGGTTAAGAGACCTGAAGATGCTGTGTGGTGAATGCATGAGATTTCTCACATTTCTGGTCCGAATGAGGCAGAGCACGATTTGTGTTGTGCCCTGTCTCATGCAAGGTTAGGATCTGGACCTACAGGCCAGAGAGAGCTTTATCTTAAATATCACAAGGTTTTAGTTTCTTACTAGGTTAAATAGGAAATTTTTTATAAATTCTGAGGGGTTTTTTTTAGAGTTGGGAAAGCCTTTTGCTTAGTCTGCCTCTGAAGGTAACCCTAAAAAGGAGTCTGGGGCATAAAAGAAGTAGCAGAAGGCAGAGCCACTGTCATGGAAAATAAGGGCTAACTTTGGAGTTGGAAGCCTGAAAATCTCTGACTTTTCCCAGTAGGACACCTGCCTTCTTAAGAGAGAGAGCTGTACCCAAAATTTTGCTCTGTGTATGAGATAAATATTTGCTATTGTTCTCCTACACTCTTAATCCTGTATTTACTAAATAAAAATTACTTGGGGTGAGATTATGACTAATATGATCAAATAATGGTGCTTGCCTCATGCAGTAAGCCTGTCTGATCCATGCTTTGAAAGCACCCAGAGACGCACATCTTGTACCTGCGATGCCCTGCAGCAGTGACAGAGCCTGTAGCAGACACCTCCTCGCTCCAGCACTGCTCGTGTAGGAATGTAAGCAGTGCCCATTTTTTTTTTTTAATCATTTGTTTGAAACAAGGTTGGTAGTATGATGCTTGCCTGAATAATTACAGGCACTTTCAAAACCAGTAACTTCTTACCCTCAAAAGAAAACAATTGCAACCGGGTCTGTTATTTCAAAATTTTGGAAAGTCATTCTCAAATACATCCTTAAATGTGTTTATTAGCTCATTCCTCTCCTAAATGCTGGTGGCTATTGTTACTTCATTTTATTGTGAAAGCATGGTTTCTTTTCAGTTTGATCAACTAGGTTTCAGCCAGTCTCACAGAAATCAGTTGCTGGTCTCATCGTGAGAGGAGCTTGCTGACCAGGTTAATGGAGAATATATGGAGAAGATTA